GCTTAAGAAAGTGTGGTTGGCTGTCATGAGAACTCTCTGCACTCACGCTGGCCTTCTCACCGCCCTTTATTCTTGTGCTGGAAATGTTGATCGGAGTCTGCCATATTGTTACACAGTTCCCTAGCTCTCACCCCCGTCTCTCTCCTGCCTCTCTCTGGTTCACATATTTCACTCGACTCCTGCCACCCCATCTGGGCCAACTTGAGGCGTTATTAGCTCTACCCTGCGTCTGGGTGACTAATTCGAGGCTCAAGCCTGTGAGTAAGTGTCATGGTCAGGCATTTGCCAAATGGACCACTTCTCTTATACAAACTACTGTCAGTCCACTAGCTCCCATCGCCGACGCGTCTATCCTGTTTCTATCTCTAAAACCAAGGCTATGACTTACTAAGCCCTAGTCTCATGTGTGCCAACCCACAAATGTTTTGGTTATGCTTGCTTTGACTCGGTTCAATAATGAACCACAACGTTTGTGGGTTGGCACACATGAGACTAGGGCTTAGGAAGTCATAGCCTTGGTATTAGAGATAGAAACAGGATCAGAAGTTTCGCCGACATTGTGAGTCTTTCCATACTTAGCACCAAGTTACAACTCGTCAAAAAGCAAGTGAACTCAATCTTTTGACGAATTTTTGCCTGGCATTCATCCAAGTACATGGTCCAACGCTGGGGACATCGGGCTACGTGCGTTTAACAAGGTTGCCCTGATACTACGATTAGGTCAAACCACTTCTATCACAATCACTGCTAATCATTATAGCAATCTTTGGTTGTAACTAACTCCAAGCATCATATTCCATATAATTTTCTCTTAATTGAATTTCACTACGATTTCTTTTTGAATTCAGCTCGCTAAACTGATGGAAAAATACGAGTTAGAGAAACAATGGAATAACCAGCGTTATGCCCAGCTAACTATTGAGCATCGTTTATCACAGGAACGTCAGAAACGAAGCACCTACGAGGGGACCCATTCACAACTTGACTCTCAAATCTCCAACATCCAGTCGAATTCTATGCCCAATCAATCTGTTTTGCTTTCTCTATCTTCACTTCCTGTGGCCCCATGTGCTATCTCAGTTAGCTTATGCAACAAGGCCTACCCAACGAGTACTCCAAAAATTGCCACTACGCTGACAGATAGCAGCGGCTGCCTTGATTGTGAAGCTACTCTACATCTTGAGCATACCATCACAAATGAAATGGGTACTCAAAGCGTCGGGCATTCTTCGCGAAATGTAGATCTGGACTATACACTAGATTCTAAAGGGTTGGAAAGAGGAGGTAACTCGCTTCTTAATCATTGCCCTTTTCATTATATTAATTTATTTTTATTACAATATGTAATGAATTTCCCATTCATTAGAAATATCCAGGTTTTGATTATGAACAAGAAATTAAAAAAATCGTTCATTCCTACAATGTTAAATATCTTACTCCTAACCTAGAAAGGATTTAAGATTCATTAGTTATTAATAAAATGAGACCATGTACTGATCACAGATTCATTTTGAAGATTTTAATATACCTTGAATTTAATTTTTCGAGACTGTATCTACTGTCCAGCTTCCTTATAAAAGTGACTTATTTTGGTTAATATTGATTGTGTAGGCCCAAAATTATTTCACCTCAGTTATTCCTGTTATTCATCTTAGGCTCGCTGAGTATGAAACTTTATCATGTTTGACTATTGTTCCATGTTAAAATGTTTAAATCCTACATTTTTTTAAGAACCTACTCTAATTATTTTGTAACTGTTTCAGATAAAATGAATGACTCATCGGCATGCTTTTATTATTTATCGTTCTGAGAACTCGTACATGTTTCCTCCCATCTTAATGTACAGTTACATGTCATTTACTTGCACTACTTCATTTCGTAACATATTTAACTATTTTTTTATTTAAGGCTTGAATGCCTCCTGGACACATACATACCCTCAGGGCAGCTCAGATTAGTTTAATCATCTCATAAATTTTTGACCAAATTATATATAAATACATCCACCTTTAATAAGTAGACTGGAAAATATATCTCAAGGAACCTACTCTGTCTTCAACTCTTATAATGACCCTTCATTTTCTCCTTAAACACAATATTTCTTATCGAAGGTATGAAAATCAAGATGGTGTGGCCTTTTGTGTAGTCGCAGTCTCCTTTCGTTGTATAGAGGTTGTTTGACCTTGTTTTCGCAGCATGGTCATATCGGTAGGAAGACTTATTGGAACGCACCTAGTCCGGGGTTCATTGTTTGCATGATCATTTCCAAAGTTGAACCGTAGACGTGGTACATTCCCGGACGTTTCCCTGGCATCGTAGTCGGCATCATTAGTGAGTCTCGCCATTCTTAGCACCATTCAACAACTCGTCAAAGGGACAAGTGAAGCCGATCCTTTGACCAAACGTGTGCTAAACAGTTTTGGTATCTCCCCTTCTGCCCTGGGCTATTCACATTTCCTAAATCATCCTATCACACCTTCCCTCTCACAATTTTACCCTGCTTTGATGTAGTGTGGTGTGCTTCTTCGAGCGGCATCCATGAAAACCCTTCACACCCCATGTGGCGTTCTCACCCCCTTCCCTATTGTGCTGGGAATGTTGATCTAAATCTGTCATATTGTTACGTAGTCCTTTCCTGGGTCCTATCAAAGTCTCCCTCTTGCCGCATAAGATCCGTCTACTCTCTGCCTGATTCACATATTTCACTCGACTCCTGCCAACCAATATGTGTCGCTCGAGGCGTTATTCGCACTCCCCCTGTGTCTGGTTGATTAATTGAAGCTAAA